ACAATAAAACGGGTTGAAGAAATGAATAACCCACCCCCCACCCACCTTGTCCCCAAACCTGCTCCTCTGCCGGGAACCAATCCCAGCATGTAATATTTACAAGAGTTTTACCAAAAGGTTGGTGAAGCTTGGGGTTGAGTCACATATAGTTCACCTGTTGGAAACGGCTAGAAGGCACTTCCCCCAAACCTGAATGGTATTGTTAACTGCCACCCAGCTCAGGGCATTCTATGGCCTCCTGTTGGCCAAGCACCTGCGCAGCTGTAAGCTATTACTGAACCTGACAATCTCTGTAAACCCTTTGATGTCTTACCCTTTGAAGTCTGTGTTTCCACGTTGCCTTGGGACAAATTGTGTTAATAAAAGCGCGGGTCCTTGGTCAAGGAGGAGAGTCTTCTAGCTCCTTCAGCTGGAAGCTCCTCTGACCCCCAATGCCTTTCAAAAATATCTTTCGTCCACAGACTCCTTAATCATCTATGCGCAGCCCTTTCTCTAGAAAGCTGAACCCTTTGCAAGGCTGGGGAAAAAGATCCCCGGCACTCCTCCAGCTAGGTTCCTTGTGGCAGTGCTGGCACATCACCCACTCGGTTCCCCCAGCCAGCAACATGGGTCACCTCCTGGTGCCCTCACCTGGTTCAGCTTAGCATCACTGGCATGGGCAGCACTGTCCTGAGTGGCCGTCAGCTTCAGGTCGCTCCCCCTCCCCCCTCAACCTATCCTCCCACTGAAACAGAGCCAGCTTTAGAAACCAAAATATGACCCTTTCACTTTCCTTTTGAAGCTCTCATGGTTTCCCATCACTGGACAACGTGTGGATTTCCCCACAGGGCCCACAGTCCCTTCACTACTCTGCCCCTGCCTCCTCCCAGGCCTTTCCTCCCTGCCTCTCCTTCCTCACACCATTTCTTCAAACCCTCCAAGCTTTTTCAAAAACGTCACGCCCTTCCCTCTCCCAGGAATCTCTCTGCCCGGGTACCTCCTTCTCACCCAGTAGGACCCTGTCCCTCCCACCAGGCCTCCACTGAGGCTGAACTGTGCAGTAGAGTCAGAATACCTGAACTTGCATCCTGGTTCCACTTACTAACTGAACATCTCTGAGTCACCATGGTTACTTATCAAGTGTGGAATATCAAGAGGTGCCTGGTGAAGACATGGAGACAGGGAACCCTATTGCACTGTTGGTGGGTTTGTAAATTGATGCAGCCACTATGGAAAAATTAAAAATAGAACTACCATATGACCCATCAGTGTCACTTTTGGGTATTTGAAGAAATCCACAACACTAATTGGAAAAGATCTATGCACCCCTATGTTCACTGCAGCATTATTTATAATAGCCAAGATATGGAACCAACCAAAGTGTACATAGACAGAGGAATAGATAAGAAGATGTGGTGCATATATATATATAAGGTAATATTAACCATACAAAAGAATGAAATCCTGCCATCTGTGACAGCATGGATGAACCTGGAGAGTATTATGCTAAGTGAAATAAGTCAAATAGAAAAATACAAATACTATATGATTTCACTTACATGTGGAACTAAAAAACAAAATAAATGAACAAAACAGGAACAAACTCAAAGAACAAATTAGTGTTTGCTAGATGGGAGGGAGATTAAAGAGCTGGGTGAAAAAGGGGAGGGATTAAGATGTACACATTGGTAGTTACTTTATATCTTTATATCATAGAGATATAAAGTACAGCACAGCGAATATAATCAATAATCCTCCTATATAATAAAAGGCTAATATGCAAATTTACAGGAAGCGGAACAATGGTGGAATGACAGGTTGCTATGATGTGCACTGACCACCAAGGGGCAGATGCTCAGTGCAGGAGCTGTCTCCAGCCTGCACTCCCCAGACCATCCAAAGTGTGTGCCAGACAGCCCGCCTTCTCCCAAATCACTCTGCCGGTTGCCCCACAGATTGGCCCTGGTCACCAGCCAGGCCTAGGGACCCTACCCATGCACAAATTTCACACATCGGGCCTCTAGTATTGTAATAACTATGTATGGTGTCAGGTGTGTACTAGACTTATGGGGGGATTAGATCACTTCATAAGTTATATAGTCTAATCACTATGCTATACACCTGAAACTAAGATTGTATGTGAACTGTAATTGAAAAACTAAAAATATTTTTTTAAATAAAGTAAAAAAAAAATCAGGAAAAAAAATGCTTGAGGGTAATTAGATGAAGTGCATGAATTAAGTATTGTGGGTGCTCAATACTATTTCTTCCTTCTGTGATCTCATGGCCTCGGTACTCCATTTGTCACCAGTTCTGTAACTGTCTGCCTGCCAGACTGTATGCTCCTGCAGTGCAGGGACTGCCTCATTCAATTCTATTCCCACAACCTGCCTAGAGCCAGAAACAGCCTTTTTTTTTCATCTGAACCAATTAATTAACCAGGTGGCCACCAGAGGTCAGCCTCACACCCAGAATAGAGCCAAACCAAATCAAAGTTCTTAAATGGCCTGGCACCTGGGATCAGCTCAGGAGAAGCCACGTCACTGTGACCCAGCAGAAGCTCTGATGGATGCAGCAAGGAAGCAGGGCTCTTCATGAGTCAAGGGCTTGGTTTGACCCCTTGCTGGCTCATGCTAAACCTCTCAGCTTCCATTTCCTCATCTTAAAAAACAGTGGTAACCCCACTGCCTATTGTACAGGACTGTGTGAGGCTCAGTGGCCTGTAAAGGCGCCTCACACAGTATCCGGAGGAGCAGAACCTGGGCTAAGTCTGTTGGAATGGGTGGATGCCTGTAAACAGCAACATCTATGACCAAGTGAGATCCTGCGGGCAGCGCCTGCATTAAATGATTCCAGTTCCACTCCCTGCTCACACGGCCCTGCATCCAGAACCGTTGGGATGAGTGCGGAGGAGCCACAGGGGGCTGAGCTGACGAGAAATAGGAACTGACTCCTCAGTCTCAGAATTTCAGGGATCAAAGTAATGGCCCTAGAAGATCATCCTATACTGTCCCACCCCATACTGGGACACCCTGTAGCAAGTTTCTCTTGGTTGAGAAGTATTGAGAAGCAGATGAGCAATGGATTTGTTAAATCACTAGGATGCTGCTTGATAGTCATTAGAGATCCCCATTCACCCACCTATCACTGTTGTTTCCCTATTTCAGAGAAATTCTCACTTCTATGCAAAGTACCAATAGGCTCTAAGAGAGGCAGATAAAAGGTACATTTCAGGGGACAGAGTCACCCCAGCCTTAGACAAATGGCATAGAAAGCAGGTCCTAGAAAGGAGAGATGAAGGAACCAAACAGACTCCGAATCCCCAGAAAGCAGTTTCAGGTCAACTCCAAGGTCAAATACTGAACAAAATCATCTTGAAGCCTAGGTGAGACAACAGGATATAACGAGTGGGGATAGGGGTGGGTGGGTAGGGAGGGCGGTGGGGGGAGGGGGGATGTTTGCATTCACTAGACTGAGTGGATCTAAAAGTAGGGTGGTTCATTATTATCGTGGTAGAAAGGAGGAAGCAGGGAGAGGGGGCTTGTGCTGTGCAGGTGTCGTGGCCTGCTGCCCTGGAGTTACTCCCATCCGATGGGGAATGAAGACTAACAATAAATATACTGAATTCAGGTTTGAACCTCTGGAAATCCCAGCATGTCAGGATGGCCTGAGACTGAGCTTGGCTTGAGGGACAGTGTGTTTTGGTAGAGGTTGGGAGACAGTGCCAGGGGAAAGCCTGAAATGAGATCTGACATGGACTTGTTCTAAACAGGAACCAGAGGTGTGTTTTTTCCCGTGGGTCATAAAGTTGCCCTTTGTCACCCAGCCAGCCAGGAGAAAACAAAACTCAAAATATTTTGGAGGGGACTTTTGTACTGGGCGGGGGGGGGGGGGGGGGGGGGGGGGTTGACTAGATGACTACCTGGGTCCGTTCCATCCCCAAGATTCTGTAAAGCATTCAGTAACAAGAGGATATTGACACAAATGTATTTGCAAACAGAATGTGTGACTTTATTTAACTTCTAATTGAAATAAATTTACATAAAATTCACCCTTTCAAAGTATGCAATTCAGTACTTTTTAGTATATTCACAAAGTTGAGCAACCATCACCACTATCCAATTCCAGAAGATTTTAAAACCTCCCCCCAAAAATTCTCATACCCATTAGCCGTTATTCCCCATTCCCCCTCCCCTACCCCATCGCAACCACTAAACTACTTTCTGTCTCTACAGATTTGCCTATCCTGGATAATTCATATAAATGGCAACCTACTATATGTGGCCTTGCATGTATGTTCTTTCACTCATCATGTTTTCAAGGTTCATCCACGTTGCAGCATGTTGCCAGTACTTCATTCCTTTTTATGGCTGAAAAATATAAGGACTATTTCATGGAAACATTTTGCTTATTCACTCAGTAGCTGATGGACATTTGGGTTGTTTGCACTTATGTTAAAGGAATGCTGATGTACATTCATTCTTTGCCCATTCCTTCCCTCAAATTAAGGTAAAGGAAGGCCAAGCAAGCAAAATAGTAAAGAACTGGTACTTAGGAAAGGAAAAGCAACCTTGATTTTTAGGTTACGTCGATAAAGAACGGGGCCAAAACCTGACACCTATCAACACTCCCACTGCCCTCTAATCCCATGTCTGAGGTGAGCCCACCCACTACGCCCGCAGGTTAGCCATTAGAAAGCCCTTGGGTCAGCAGGAAGAACTAAGGTCCAGACCAGTGGTTCTTAGCTTTTCTATCCTCCAGGGGTTCTTAGGGTTTCATGGAAGCAACACAGGGCCTCAAGGTGGCTGGGGTTGGGGCGCAGGTGGATAGGACTCTCAGCCCAGTCCCCATCCCTGCTTTACCTAGAGCAGCTCTGATTCTCTTTTGTTTGTTGAGGTTCCAAATGTTCATTTGGAGCAAATAAAGGGGGTCCATGACAAAAAAAAAAAAAACGTTGGCGACCACTGGCTAGATGGCTGTGTAATCCTTGGACGGAAGCTGGGTCTCCATGGTGGGCGTTCTTACGAGTTCTTCTGTGGAACCTTGATGGTGACCGTCTTCACCTCTGTGTAGGCCTTAAGCCCGTCCTCCCCCAGCTCCCTCCCGTTCCCAGACTCCTTGAAGCCTCCAAACGGCGTGTGGCAAGTGACGATATTGTAGGTGTTCACCCACACGGTGCCCGCCTGGAGGGCCTGCGTGAAGTACATGGCCTTGTCCAGGTCCCGTGTGAACACAGCGGCAGCCAAGCCGTACCTGGTGTTGTTGGCCCTCTCAATCACCTCCTCGATCTTCTTGAACTTGAACAGGGGCTGCACGGGCCCGAAGATCTCCTCCTTGGCGATCCTCATGTCATCCTGCACGCCACCGAAGACGGTGGGCTTGATGAAGAAACCCCGCTCCCCAAAACGCTCCCCACCGCAGAGGAGCTTGGCCCCCTCCTTCTGGCCAACCCGGATGTAGCCCAGGATTTTCTCAAACTGCTCCTTGTCCACCTGGGGCCCCTGCTGGGTGTCTAGCTCAAAGGGGTTCCCGACTTTCCTCTGCTTAGCCTTCTCCACCGTTCTCTCGAGAAACTCGTCATAGATGGACTCTTCGACGAAGGTCCGGGACCCCGCGCAGCAGCACTGGCCCATGTTGAAGAAGAGGGCCTCGTGGCACTGCTCCACCGCATGGCCCATGTCGGCGTCGGCCAGCACGATGCTGGGGCTCTTCCCGCCCAGCTCTAAGGTGACCCTCTTGAGGTTGGAATCTCCAGCTGCCTTCTGGATCAGGTGGCCCACCTCGGTCGAGCCCGTAAAGGCAACTTTGTCGACATCCATGTGCTGGGCGATGGCCGCTCCCGCGGTTGGGCCATAGCCCGTGATGATGTTCACCACCCCCGGGGGAAAGCCTGCCTCCTTGATGAGGGAGGCCAAGTACAGGGCCGAAAGGGGGGTCTGCTCTGCCACCTTCATGACCACGGTGTTGCCAGTGGCCAGCGCCGGGGCGAGCTTCCAGCCCTGCATGACCAAGGGGAAGTTCCACGGGACTATCTGCCCGCAGACGCCCACGGGCTCGTGCCGGGTGAAGCAGAAATGCTCGCCGTCCATGGGGATGGTCTTGCCGTGCCACTTGTCCGCCCAGCCGGCAAAGTACCGGTACACCTTGATGACCTCATCCAGGTCCAAGACGTAAGACTCCTGGAAAGGCTTCCCGTTGTCCAGGGTCTCCAGGGAGGCCAAGTAGACACGATCCCGCTCCACGAGGTCAGCCAGGCGGTTCAGCAGCCGGCCCCGCTCGGAGGCGTCCATCCGGCGCCAGGGAGACCCCAGGCGGAAGGCCTCGCGAGCGGCTTTCACGGCCCGGTCCACATCCGCTCGGTCCCCTTCGGCCACGTGGCCGATGACCTCTCCCGTGGAGGGGTTGACCGTTGGGAAGGTCTTCTTGCTGACGGCATCCTGCCACTCGTTGTTGATGAAGAGCTGGTTGTAGCGAATGTCTGGGTTCTGGATGGGGTTCGGAAGGGCTGCCGCTGAGGAGTACGGGGCGGTCCTGCCTCGGAGGCGAAGCAGCCGGGGCACCAGGAAGCGCAGCATGCTGACTACTCTGGAGAGGGACAGGAGGAACCAGGGTGAACAGGTGAAAGGGGCCCAGAGGGTCCCCCAAAGGTCCACCAGCTCAGATGACCCAAGAATCTAGCATAAGGCCTGTTACCTGAAAAAAAACATGGATTGCAAGAACAATCTGGTCCAACTCTATCGTGTCTCACCTATCCTTTGTCTTACTCCCTCAAACGTCACCTTCTCAGCAAGGCCTTCCGTGACCACCCTTTATAAAACTGCAACTTTCCTCACCCCTAGCACTCTCTATCCCTGTATCATGGCTTTCTTTGTCTCCAGCTGACATGCCAAATAGTAGCTTTACATGCTTATATGTTTATTGTCTGCCTCTCCCCAATACAACATCAGCTCCCCCCCGCCCCTGTTTGATTCATTGCCATGACCCTGCTGCCTGCACTTATGCTTACTATAATACATACATTTCCACAAAGGCTGTCTAACTGACCTAAGCAGAGAGTAGAAATCAAAGAGACTCAGAGAGAGACTGTTCTCTTAAAGAGAGGCTTCACCTCTGTGCCTCAGCAGCCTCACATGTAACATGCCTCATGGGGCTATGTTGGATGGGATTGTGCATATAAAAGCCTGCCACACTCCATCCAGGACACCCAAGCTGGCAGCACCCTCAGAAGCCAGCCTCGCTCAGCCCCCAGGTCCAGGTCTCACTCAGCTTGCCAGGGTGCAGCAAGTCCAGCAGCAGCTGGGAAGAAGGGCCTGTTCATTTCTTGCCTACAACTCTGAAGACAAGATTTGATTTGTAGATTTGATTAAAACAGCAGCTGCAAAACTTAAACAGCATATAAAATGTATTCACTGAAATGTAAATGGTGTGTGAAGTTCCTTGGTTCACTGAAGCAGTCACTCTCCAGCCAGGCCAGAAATCCCTCTGCCTTGACTCAATGGAGTCCTGTCCCATTCAACAGCAACGAGGAATTGAACTTAACCTACTCCCCAGCCCCATATCTCCATGCCCTCTGCCACTGGCATGGAGAGGAGCAAAGAACTCATCCAGAAAAACACCTCAACCAGGTCCTCAGCTCCATACAAATCAATGTTGCCCAGGAAAGTCCTCCCTTGGGGGGGGAAGTTGAGCCAGCAGACCTGTTAGGGGTGCACTCAGGTTCCATTCTGCTCAGGGCTCTGCCCCATGCAGAAGCAGCCTTGGGTCCAACAGACCTGGGTCTGAGAAGGGAGAGGTCCACCGGAATGGGTGTAAGGAGGAGTCACCAACCCACGGGGTGGGGTGCAAGGGCTAAACAGGTGAGAGAAGTGGTCACGGGCCAAGGTTGGGAAATCTTTTATGCCAAGCCAAAACTTCCTACTTAAGGGGCCTGTATGGGGGCTGCCCTGGCACTGCCATTTGCATATAAGAAGATCGCTGGTGTACCAGGCGTTGCAGTTTGCAGGCCATCTTCTCAGCAGTTAACTCGGAGAAACCCCTAGCAGCCCTGGGATGATCAGAGCAGATGATGACCCCCATTCTGGGAGAAGGTTGGGGATCAGAGAGGTTCAGGGGCTCACTCAGGTTACACAGCAAGTAAGAATAGGAGCCTCAGCCGGGATTCCCAGTCCTAGCTTTGTGTTTCCTCCCGACTACAGGCAATTTCTTCGGTTCCTGGTATTGGTGCCCCCTGTGCCCAGGACTTTCTGGGTCATCGAGCCAGGAGGCGCCCATCTCACCCTTTCTGCAAGGAAGGGGCCCTCCCCTCCGGCTCCAGTGAGGGGCCCTCTTCTGGATTGGGTCTGGTGGGCGGGAGCACTGAGGCCCAGCTAATCCGAAAGGTTTGCGGGGAAAGGGTAGGGGGGCGGCGGCAGATTGCGGTGCCACCTCGGGACAAGACCTGGGACCTGGGCGCTGGAGATGGTTGGAAAGCGTGGATAGGGTCCTACAGTGCACGCCAGGCGGAAAGACGCCCCCAGATGGGTAAGCCGAGGCCAAGAGAGGAAGCTTCCATCAGGCGACAGGAGCTGAGGCCGCCCGGGGAGAAGAGAGTTTGTTACCTGCTGCAGGCTCGGGCTCACGCTCACCAGTTCTGGCTCTCCTGGGTCAGTCCTGCCTCCAGCCTGGGGTTCGCCACAGGCCCCGCCTCCGCGCTGTCCAGAGGCTCAGCGGCCAATGAGGCTCCGCCTGCGCCTGGGGCGCCGCGAATCGCCGGCTCCAAGGCCCCGGCCACGCCTCCCTGCGGGCCCCCAGGTTGCGGTTTCCGGTGGATCCGCTCAGCCCCAGCCCGCCACCCCTGGCAGCCGCACCAGGCCGGCGCGCTGCGCCCTCCCTCGCTGCGCAGCTCTGAGCGGGAGCCGAAATACAGACCAGAAAGGGGCAGGCCTTCCCCAGGTCACCGCCATCTGAGACTGGACCCCAATTATATTTTGCATTTTCCCCTTCCGCACTGTGCACCTAGTTAGGTTGCCATCCTTGAACCTCTCCTGGCCCTCTTACGTACCTCCCGTCTGTGTTTTTTACTTTGGTTCATTAATTTCTGTCTCCACTTTCTCTGGTCTTTTTCTCAGTTCTGTTAAGATTTTAAATTTGTGCATTTAAAAAGTGCATTTTTTTTTTTGACCTAAGGATAAAAAGAATGTGTGCACACTGTAGAAAGCTTGGAAAACAGAAGATGCAGGGGGAAATTGCCTTCCCTCCATCCTTTCACTCAAAAGTGTCAATAATCTAATGTTATTCCCCCCCACCCTGAAATTTTCAAAAATTCTTTTATTAGAAATAAAATCTTATGGTGACTTCTATTTTGCTGCATGCTTTTTTTTTTTTTTTTTTTTTAACTTAAGTGTTTCTTATGAACCTTTTCTCATTTCACTGATTAGTTACAAGATGACATCATCCTCTCCAAGGTGGCGAAGAATTCCATGCTAGGGAGGACTGTTGATGGACATCTAGCTTGCCTGCAACTTGTTGCTGTCATATATGGTGCTAAGATGGACATCCTGAACACACATGTCTCACTCACTCCGTGTCCACTGCAGCTTCCTCCTGGTTGGAGAGGGTGGAAAGGTAGGAGCTAAGCTTCCCGGCCTTGTTTGCAGCTAGAGTTCTGGATGTGAACTAGCGGCTGGGGATTAGCAGTAGCCCTGCCAGATGTGGAAGGTGGGGTAGTCCTCCCCCGTGGGGACATCACTAGCGAGGTGTCAGAAATGTGAGGACTGCCGAGACCGGTTTGGCTCAATGGATAGAGCGTCGGCTTGGGGACTGAAGGGTCCCGAGTTCGATTCCGGTCAAGGGCATGTACCTTGGTTGCAGGCATATCCCCAGTGGGAGGTGTGTGGGAGCAGCTAATTGATGACTCTCTCTCATTAATGTTTCTAACTCTCTGTCTCTCTCACTTCCTCTCTGTACAAAATCAATAAAATATATATTTAAATTTAAAAAAAAAGAAATGTGAGGATTATCCGCTTTAGCGTTTCCGTCCCTTCCTCAGCTTCCAGCTGCAGGGTGGCATTTGTGGCTGCAGCTCCACTCCAGCTACCTGCTCTTTGATCCATGGCTTCAGGATGTGTCTTTGACCTAAATAACCCCAAGTATTTAGGGTTATTTATAATAACCTCAGATAGTGATGAGGCTGGTGGCCCATGTCCATCTAGTTCTGGGAGTTGCTCTCCCTCTGGCCCTTCAGCATCTCTGTCAGCCCCTGATTCTCTGCATTAAGTCCCTATCTCCCCATATTATTTACAGTCTCTTGCTTGAACCTGATTGCTTCACCTAGTTCTTTCCTTAAGCAACATCTCTATGGGATCTTTCGTCACCATGTTATCCTTAGGATGTTCCCAGTCCTTGCTGCAAAGTTCAGTTCTTCGTCCTGCTACCTCTGTGCTCCAGGTTCCTGGCAATCCCGTATGTGGTTCTTGCAAAGCCCCTTCTGCCTCCCCCATGGCAGGTGGCCAGCCTAGCTCCTTGGGCATTTGGCAAGACACTCCATGGTGGATTGATTCAATGATTATTTGATCAATCATTAACGGGCCTCGGTAAAGGCAGTGAGTCCATGGCAAAGCACGCATCTTCATTTGGTCAGGCCGAATTTGAATGCTGTGGCAGTGAGAGAGGCCAGTGGCAGACAGGAGGTGGTCATCATGGAGAGAGGTTGGAGGCTGTGTCCTGTAAGGAGCAGCTGAAGAAATTGGGGGTGTCCCCTCCTTAGAACTCAAGGGACAAGGTTATACCTTCCAAATCTCTGAAGGGTGAAAGCAGATGTGATCTGCCAGGTCCTAGAAGGCAAAGCCAGGCCAGTGAGGGGAAGTTACAGAGGGCGGAGGAAGAACTTCTGACAAGCACAATAGACTAAGGACCATGGGAGGGAGTGCCTTGCAAGGCAGTGAGCCCCACCTCTGGAGGAATACAAGGAGAAATAGACAACCATTTGGCAAAATCTTATAGAGGGGAGTAGCAGATAAGGAGTGAGCTAGACTTAGCTGAGCATCAAAATTGCCTGAGGAGCTTCAAAAAAAAAAAAATATATATATATATATATATTTTTTTTTTTTTTTTACAATCTCCTTGAGTCTCACCTTCCAAGATTCTAAATTATTATATGTTGGTTGGGGCCCAGAAATTTTTTTTTTAAGTTCCTACATGCTTCTGATGTGCAACCATATTTGGGAAACACTAGCCCAAGTCGTCTTTGAGTATCCCGTGACTCCAACATAGACAGTTTTCAGAAACAGACCTGCCCAGTGAATGCTTTGTCTGTCTCTGGATTCCATTCAGCATGCCCTGCCTGGACACTTCCCAAGCCATGGCTGGCATCAGAACTCACCATAGCAGTCCTGTCAAAAGACATTTGTGAAAGCATCAAAAAAATTAAAAGACTAAAACTTTCCAGGATGCTTGACATTTATGGTTTGGAGAGAAGGACTAATGTTCAGAGGTTGAGGGGGAAATCCACAATTATGTTTGCAGAGGGGTTAACCATTTTTCATGATTGTTTTGGATTCAGTTTTCTGAATGTCAAACAAAGATCCAGGCCTTGGTA